GGAGACCTGAACATGGCTGCAGCTGTGAGCCAGGGGACAGTGGCACATAATTAATGTGGGAACATGTGTCGGCTTTCAGGTGAGTTATTATCTGGTCAGAGATGCCATGGAAGCGAGCGGATAGGAGGAGGCAGAAGGGAGACGAGCAGGGCTGGGGAAACAAGGAGAAGCCAGGGATGGAGACAGGCAAGGAGGGAGCAGCATGGATGCATGAGACCCCACATCCCCATTCCTCGTCACATTGGCACCACGCGGGACCACAGTCGCAGCTTTGCGCTGTCTCAAGACACAAGTTTTTGAGAACTGCAGAGTTGCAGGTCTGGCAGAGCAGCACCTAAATGGTACCTGGCAATCTGTGCGCAGGCTCCTGCACGCCGGGTTAGTTCATCATCCTCGGCTGATGAGCAACGATTGTGCCTTTGCCTAGTCGGTGGCTGTTCCATTTCTGGCCTGTAGGATATTATTAGTATTAATAATGATAATGATGGGTGCTGGCTGTGGTGGTTTTCTAGCTCCCGAGGAGATGAGAACTCTCTCCCGTTAATTCCTGCAATATTTCAGCTCCTAATTGTGCTTGAGCAGAGCCAGCCGTGAAAAGTTCCCACCATCCATCCAGGCAGAGCAGGGCCGGGGGGAGCTCCCGGAGCCGTGGGGCCACGGGCCAGCCATGTCCTGAGCATCCCCGAGCTCCGGGTGCTTTCGGAGGCAGGGACTGTGGCGGTCGGGTGCCCATCACTTTGCTGTGGCTGCTCCCTTGGGCAAGAGGTGGGAGCAATCCCACAGCAGCATCGGTGTCCCCATGCAACCCAGTGAGCCGATAAATGTCCCCTCTGCACCCTGCCAGCCCTGAGGGACCCCAGCGGCCACGGTGACACGGGCACCCTGTTGCTTTCGATCAAGTGAGGTCTGCACTTGTAGACTGTGTTTGCCTAACCCCCGCCCTGCTCCCTCGGTCCCATCTATTTGTTTTTCCGTTTGTGGCAGTCACTAATGAATGAGATTTGTCCCACGATCAGCCAGACTGCCCATTATAAATAGGCAAAACGGCAGAGGGCAGGGAGCCGAGCAGTTCGGCAATTACTCTCAGTCCTCGGCCGACACGGGCGCCAGCACGACCCGGTGGCGAAGCGGCTTTACGGACCCGGTTTTGTCACAAATCCCATGGATGCCAAAATGTAAAGTGTGCCAGTCCTTGAAACCCTGAACGTTGTGCTCTGTGCCTCTCCGTTGGCTGATTACCATGCACCTCAGACCTCAGTGCTGTGCTAGCTCAGAGGAAGTCTTCATCTCCCAATTTCCTGAGGTTTTCCAGGTGGAAAGCTGACCCTCGCCGTGGCTTTAATGAAGCCTTTGGTGGGGTGACGAAACGCACTCGAGTCGCTTAGCTCCCACATCAAACTGGGTGTGCACGCCAGAGCTCAGCTACAGCGAGAGCCAATTCTCACCGGCCTGGGGAAGAGACTTTGGTTCGGTAGGAAACGAAGTGCTATCGGAGCCTGTGCACAAACTGGAGTCAGATTTGCGCAGGGAGCATCTGTCAGCCGCTGGCTGTGTCGTTATTCTATCAGCAGGCAGCGCTGTGCTACAGAGGAGCCGATTCTAGGTCAGCCATAAAAGGGATGGGTTTTTTTCTCCTCTCTCCTTGTTTTGCAGTGCACAGTGCTGCAATTTGTGTGTCTCCAAAGGATGTAGGTTTTGGGGTGGTGCCTTCATATTTTGCCTTTTGGTCACACTAGGTAGTGATGAGCTCAGCGGTTTTGACCGGGAGCTGACCGGGTGGAAATTTTGGTGCGGGGGGATGTCAGCAATGCATCGCGGCAGGTGGCACGGGAGAACTCGATGTGACGCTTTCCGAAGCTTGCAGGGCTGCCTTCCCAGTTGGGTCTGCCCGGGATAGCGGGATGCACACACGTGTGCACACAGGGTCCTCGGTTCGGCAGCTGGGTGGGCGAGGGTCTAGCAGAAATGGCATCGGTGCCGGCACAGGACCCCATGTACAAACCCCCGCGTACATGTGCTCTGGAGGGGGCTGTGAGTGTGACGGCGCTCGCTATGTATGTGCCATGGGAAGAGATGCTCTAAAAGCATCGGCCAGCGGGATGCCAATAGTGTGTGCCCTGATGGGAGTCTCCCACAAGTATTTTTTGCATGCGTTTGTTAGGAGAAAGATGCATACAGTTGGGCGGTCAAGCGTGGCGAGCAGTGGCCCACAGGGTCACACCAGCACAGAGATGATGGCGGGCAGGAAGCGAGGGCGGGCATGGGATCACCACATCCCCCGGGGACCAGGGACCTGCGCCGGGTCTCGGTGCCATTGGCACTCACTCCCTGAAACAGCTGTCCAGAGCTAATTTATTTCCTAATGCCGCAGCAATGTTAATTTATAAATTACACTGGTAATTCGAGCTATTATTAATTGCAGCTGGTGTAGGGCAAGCATAATGAAAATATGACACTAATTGCCACACATATGTACCCAGGACTACCGGTGGAAATTTATAGGAACATTAAGTGTGACACTGGTCTGGGAGATGCTTCACCCAGCGATGACAGCACCTCGCTGCAGATTTGATGGGGAGATGGGATGGAAAGGAAAGGAAGGGAGACGTTTTCCCCGGTCGGGGGCTGTCCAAAACCCACCTATGGGGTTCGTTCAGGGGCAAGGGGCGTTTTTCTGGGGTGGTCAGTGGACATGTCATAATAGTTGGGTTTCTTTATTTAACTTTTGCATTTGTTGTAAAACTGTAATCTCTGTCAACACAGAGACCGTCACGGCTGGGGTGGGATGTGCTGATGGCAAGGAGAGACGATTTCAGGTCATTCTAGCAGGGCGCGAGTGTGGCGAGCACCATTGGCCCACCCTGCGCCCTCCGGGGACATAATCTCCAGCAAGCGATGCTCCGGGCAGGGCCGGGGCCACCACAGAGGTGCAGCACCTCCCCATCACTGATGGTCCCCTCCCTCTGTCCCTGCAGCCGTGGGCTTTGTGAGCGAGGACGAGTACCTGGAGATCACGGGCATCACGCGGGAGCAGTCGGGCGAGTACGAGTGCAGCGCCTCCAATGACGTGGCAGGAGGGATCACGAGTGCAGCGCCTCCAATGACGGGGCAGCCCCCGTCGTCCAGCGAGTCAAAGTCACCGTCAACTGTGAGTAGCCTGGGGGCCATCAGGGACGAGGGGATGGGATGTTGGCACTGGGAAGCAGGATGAACCCATCCTGCGGGTCCCAGAGCCAAGACAGGCAGCGGCAGTTTTCGGACCAGGTGGTGTTTTCCCCCTTTTTCCATATCTTTTGGAGCTCTATTTTTTACCACCACCTCCTCCTCAGCTGTCTTTCACCGTCAACTGTGAGTAGCCTGGGGGCCATCAGGGACGAGGGGATGGGATGTTGGCACTGGGAAGCAGGATGAACCCATCCTGCGGGTCCCAGAGCCAAGACAGGCAGCGGCAGTTTTCGGACCAGGTGGTGTTTTCCCCCTTTTTCCATATCTTTTGGAGCTCTATTTTTTACCACCACCTCCTCCTCAGCTGTCTTCATCAACCTGGGTTTTCCGCCCATGGTGAGATGCTGTGCTGATAACCTCCAGGGAGAGAAGTGAGCAGTAAATAGGAATTTTTTTCTTTACAAAAAAAAAAAATGCGAGAGAGAAAGAGAGCGAGGCAGAAAGCAGCATGTTGTCTGCTCAGCCAGAGGCAAAGACCCTCCTAAACTCCTCAGTGGGCATCCCTACAGCTGCACAGGATGGGTGCAGGGTCACACCCGGAATCGAAATCAGACTCCTTCCTAAAAGTGGGACAAGAAAAGGGAGCTTGTGGAGCAAGGGGAGGGGATAGGATGTTCTGGGGTCTGCCGGGCACCAACCCGAGCCTCCCCTCTTCCTGGCAGACCCGCCGTACATCTCGGACGCGAAGAGCACCGGGGTGCCGGTGGGGCAGAAGGGCATCCTGCTGTGCGAAGCCTCCGCCGTCCCCTCCGCTGACTTCCAGTGGTACAAAGACGACAAGCGGTAAGAGCCCGGGGAGCGGACTGGGAGATACAGCAGAAGCTGGAGGGGAGGCTGGGGCTGCCGCCTAAGTTGGTTTTGGGAGGAAAGGAGCAGGCGGAGTGTACAAAGTGCCAGATGCTGGCGCAGCAGATGAAAGTCCGGGCTCAGAAGTAGGTCAGATTGTGAGGGCCCCCAAAGCAGCGCAGGAGTGGGCTCAGCCCGCCAGGAGCCCGGCAGATGATGGGGATGCGGCACCTCCTGGGAGGAATTAGCAAGTCAGAGCTGCAGGAGCAGAGCGGGAGGGGGACAGCAGGGAAGTGGAGGCACTTGGTTCCTGCCTAGGAATTGGTGCTGGCTGAGAAGTACCTTGCTGCTATGTGGTGAAGGGTGCTGGCGGGGGTCGGGGCAGGGGAAGGTGTGAGAAGGGATCTGGCAGAGCCAGGAGGACTGAGGAGCCCTGCAGGTTGAGGAGAGAGGGAAGCTGGGCTCTGCTGGGTGGGAGGGAGCCTTTCCCAGGCCCCCCACCTTGGGTGTGTGAGCATCCCTCCCTCTGCACGGCATTTCGCAAGCCCTAAAGCCAGGGACTGCATCCATAAGGATGGGTCTGTCTGGACAGCACGGGGACGGTGTGAGCTGGCAGCTAAGAGACAAGACCCAGCAGAGAGGCATCCATCTCCCATAACTCTCCTAGTGCCTTCTCTTCTCCCTCCTAATGCCTCATCTTTCCCCCAAGCTCGATGTCCCTGCTGTCAGGCAGGACCACGGGATAGTGGTTCATGGGAAATAGGGGCAGGTCTCCTCCCGCTGCCATCCCCGTGACCCTGTCCCTTTGTGTCTTTCTTGCAGGCTGGCCGAAGGGCAGAAAGGCGTGAAAGTGGAGAACAAAGCCTTCTTCTCCAGACTGACTTTCTTCAATGTTTCCGAGCAGGACTACGGCAACTACACCTGCGTAGCCTCCAACCAGCTAGGGAACACCAACGCCAGCATGATCCTCTACGGTGAGTACTGGGGAGGGGGCAACGGCGTAACCGCGAGACAGCTGACATGGGATGGGTCTGGTTGTGTCTTTTGGGGGAGAGGTGCACTTGCCACTGATCTGTTCTGCCCCGGCGTGTGGGTCGGAGGCTGTAGTGAGTGCAGGGAAACAGGAAAGTTTCCAAAGGTAACGCCCGACTGGGGTCCCGCATCTGCCCCCACGGAGAGGTGTTTGGGGTGCACCATGGACCGCCACAGAGAGCTGGAGATGGGCGGTAGACCTCATTGTTGGCCGCTGCCACAGGGGTATTACCCTGCCAGGGATAGGGGGCAGGTGGTCATCCCCCTACAACCAGATAGGAGAAATGGGGCTTGGGGACCTCCATCCTTTTCCGATGTCGCCCCAATGTTGTCCCCCTCCCTGCCACCCATTCTTCCACCGGCAGTCCCACCCTGGCGCATGGGTGATATGAATAATGGCCTGTGGTCAGTGCCCCACAGAGGAGACAGTAATCACCGCTGAGAGCATTTGATGGAAAGCACCGGATCCCTATGGCCTCCAGCCATCCTGGCGTGGCAAAGCCTTTGCTAGCATGTACCAAGGATTTAATTAAACCTCCAGAGACCATGAAGGAGATCCCCTGTTGCATAGGAGAGACAGGGCTGGCGGGAAGCAGAGCGTCAGGGTCCAAACGAGGGGGCTAGGGCGGCTGGTAGGTGCGCCACGATGGCAAGAAGTGGAAGGGAAACCTAGTCAAAGGAAGGATGTGTTGGAGGGTAGGAGGCAGGGTGTCCCTAGAAATAGGGTCTCTTGGGTGCCGTCGTCTTGCGTATCTGCAGAAGGCAACACCTCTTCCCTCTGTTGTGGAGTATGTGCGTGGGAAAGCGTATCGGTTTGGTGTGAGTGGGCGCGGTGACCAGCTCAGCAGGGGCTCAGTAGGCGCTTTAGCGATGAGCGTCACCCTCGCGCAATGGCCCCGCAGCGCGCCGTGCCCCCCCGACCTCCCAGCAGCCCACCCTTTTTTCCTCCTGGATAGTTTTGTTCTCCTTGGAAGGGTCGATGTATTGGCAACCAGCCGCCATCACCCCAGGCACCTCCATCATGCTGGGCATCCCCCGTGCTGGCATCTTAGCCAAGTTGTAAATAATCTATCAGAATGTACTTTTTCTCTTTCAGTGTGTTCTTCCTGAGCACACAAGCTCAAGCAGCATGTGCCGGGCGGCTCGCAGGGCTCTGTGTTGCCAAGCATTGTGTCCCTGAGTGCTCAGCCTTGTCTTTCCCTCACCTCATGGATGTCTGGAGGGGAGTGGAGGGGGGAGACGAGCCTTTCTCCTTCCCAGGTCCCTCAGTGGGGCAGCTCAGGCAAGTCTCTGGTGTACGTGGAGAACATTAACATCTCTAC